TCTAGAATTTTGCACAAGTTCGATGTTAGCGAAATAGGCCTGAGATTTTGTAGGGTGTTGAGTGGCTTTCACTCAACACCCTACAAGGCACTGAAAAATGTTTCACAGGCGTCTCTGAAAAGATCGACGTCCGCCAGACCCGCAACGGATTCAGGTAGACTGTTCCAGTCTTTAATGGCTGATTGCAAAGGCGATTCTGAAAATTGATATAAACAAGAAAAAGAAGCGGTCCAAGAACTGAGCCCTGTGGAACTCCAAATATTACATTTATTGTATTAAAAGTTCCTTTGTTGAAAATTACCGATTGTGTTTGGTGCGAGAGAAAATTAAGGATCCAATTGGTGTACATAGGGTGAAGATTTAGACTGCCTAACTTTTTTAGTAACCGCTGGTGAGGAACCTTCAGAAGCCTTAGAGAAATTCATAAACACAGCATAGAGTCACAGTATCCAGCACTTTAGCTCTCTTAGATTCAGCTTTTAGGTCAAAGCTGAAGTTTTGAAATAATTCGCGGGTTCCAATTTTCGCGACATGGTGGGATCTCACTATAGATTCAATGTGTCTACATTTTACCGGAATTGTTCGAGGTACCTAATTTTCGCGACACGGTGGGATCTCACTATAGATTTCAATGTGTTTACATTTTACCGGAATTGTTCGGGGGACCTAATTTTCGCGACACGGTGGAATCTCACTATAGATTCAATGTGTTTACATTTTACCGGAATTGTTCGGGGGACCTAATTTTCGCGACACGGTGGGATCTCACTATAGATTCCAATGTGTTTACATTTTACCGGAATTGTTCAGGGGACCTAATTTTCGCGACACGGTGGAATCTCACTATAGATTCAATGTGTTTATATTTTACCGGAATTGTTCGGGGGACCTAATTTTCGCGACACGGTGGGATCTCACTATAGATTTAATGTGTTTACATTTTACCGGAATTGTTCGGGGGACCTAATTTTCGCGACACGGTGGGATCTCACTATAGATTCCAATGTGTTTACATTTTACCGGAATTGTTCGAGTTACCTATTTTTCGCAATTTGTAGGCGATTCGCAAAAATTAAGTCGTTTACAGTATTTACATTTCTATCACACTCGAAGGGCAACGTAGGGCGTGTTTGGAGCAATCCTAGCTAGGAGCAGCGACTGATTTTTGTATGCATCTTTTTTTTTTTCTACGTGATTCTCGCGACTGGTTCAGCCCTTTCACATAAAAGTGAAGCCTTGTTAAGACGTAAAACTTTACCAATGCTGCCGTGAGCACACTTGCATGTTGGCTGCAGCCTATGGTATGGCGGAAGCGGGATTCCACCAGCAACATAATATCGACTATGCTGTTGCTGCAGAGCTTCGTTTTACTGAAAACGAAAGTAAAAATATCCTCCAGTTTCTTCACGGCGAGGAAGAGAGCGTGCGAAGGATACAAAAGCCCTCCTTTGTCGCAAATTTTCGTAAACCCGCAGTCAGGGATGGGCGAAATACATACAAATATGTATCAAAATACAAATACAAAATACTTCGTCAAAAATGTATTTAATTACAAATCTAATTACATTTTCAAAAAAGCATTTAAGTACAAAATACAAATACAACCAAATGTATTTGGTCTGCTCCAAATACTTTTCCAAATACATTTCTCAAAATTTGCGTCAGCGACTTCAGGGCACCTGCAACTAGTTTCTGGGTATCTCATTTTAATTTTGCATCGCACACTCGGGAGTTAGTGTGCGAGGCTCTAGTAACGTAATAGAATTATAATCACAAAAAAATGTAATCAGCTGCGACGTAATAGGTGAAAAAAGTACAGAGCTTCAAGCAGCTTTTTTTTGTCGATTACATTTTGGTATAGACCAACAAACAACCGAGACGACCAAGACGCGCAGCACCAGCTAGATATTTTTTTTATTGTTGCACCTCGCACCAGTTACAAAAATCTGGGCGACCCGCCCGTTTAGAATATTCCAAGCAAAAATATGGATAGAAATCAGGCTGGAAAACATCACAACTTGTCACAGGCACTTATTTAGCCAGTCTGCCTGTGAACGTCGATTTCGTCACTATTCTTGCCCTGGACTAGCACCGTAATCACAAAGTCACTAAACGCTTGTGTTTGATTGAGAGACGCTGCATTCAGTGCAGAACGTAGTTTTCTTCCTGCTCTGGACCGTGAGAATAAATTTGAGGGATGTATTTTTGCCCACAAAATTGTATTTAATTACAATTGTATTTAAAATACCCACGTTTTAGTATTTAAATACACAGGTCAAATTCATTACCTAATTTGTAATTAAATACAAAATACACAAAGTATTTAAAATACGTATTTCAAATACTTGTATTTGAAATACTGCCCATCCCTGCCCGCAGTTTTCCTTGTCGGAAGAGCTCCCCAAAAAAAGGCTGCGGCACTCTGAACAATTGCTGCGGGCAAGGAACCTGCGAGCTACATAACCTGCCATGTAATGTATTAACCGGGAATCACTTTTTTGCTCTACGTATCCTTTGTGTTCGCTAGGAACGCTACGGAGCATACACTCTGCGGACCCCAAGTTCCCCGCCTCAATCTGTTTGTCGATTTCGGCAACTTTGGCTTCTGCAGTTGAGCCATCAGATGCATTGAGCAAAGAACTGACATCTTCATTGACTTCGGCGTTGCCCGAGCTTGCTACTTTTGCCAAATTATAAAAAGACAGGCAGTTGACAATAATTAAGAATTGCGTTGGCGTTGGATGGTCGTTGGAGCCACTAGATTGTCCGACAATCCCAAATAAATTTTCAAGGGGATCCTGACTTAACCGAGATGTCACGAGGTAACTGAAACCGTGTGCTGTGAGGTAATCTAAGAGAGCTAAAGTGCTGGATACTGTGACCCTAAGGCCATCTGCTGTGGAGTCGCTCAAAAATCCCCCCACTCCTTTTGCACGGACTCCCAAGAAGACAAAAAATCAAGAAACTCCTTCAAGAACTCCACTTCTTTGGACCCTGGACGCAGAGCTTTTGCTGTGAAGCGGGAAGTCATGATCTTGATTAGGCTGTTGATGGTTCTGAAAGAATACAAATAGACTCATACAGTTTGCTAGCACTTCCCATTGTCGATACAAGTCAAAACTGCTGCGATAGACAAATTAAATTTCCATGCTCTGCTCACTAAAAATTAAAAAATATTATACCGGAATGTAAACAAAGGCTACAGACTTAACAAATAAAAATTTTCTCTCAGGTAGTCCTTCAAAGGTACTTAGCACGTGTTTTCATTATTTCTCCGATGGGTTCATTAGGTCAAAGGGCAGAAAACTAACTGATTAGCAGGTTTCTGCTTACCTAAAGAAGGACAATGTTGCATCGAAGCTGCTGCACGAGGACTCTAGCTCATCCTGGAAAAACTGGAGTCCATTGATGACACGGTCTCCGAAGAGTTGGAAGGCGAAGGACACCCTCATTTTTTCAAATCCATTTGGTTGAAGGTGGACAGATGTAAGACCGGGCATCGCCTTCAGGGTGACATTGCTTGAGTCTTTCTTGAATGCTTCCCTTACAGGCCGCATGGAGACCTGAAACAGTAGCCGTAACATATTGCATCCATATTGCCTTTTTCACATAAAGACATGCGTGTTTAAGCACGAGTATATAAATGCTTTTGATAATAGCTTTTATGAAATGACTCTGCATCGGCATAGCAAGAAACGCGAGATCAGAAAGAGCAAAATTGCAAAGTGCTTGTTTTGTTACGAAGTAATAACACATACCATTCCATCCGGGGTGTTCAATGGATACTTGAGGAGCGTATTTCCTGAGGCACTTGAGTAAATGAGGAAAATCTGACAGGAAATGGAGATGCCGAGATGAATCAACAGGGTGCTCAAGCTTGCAGGTAACTTTCCCTGACTTAACGCCGATTCCCAAGATTTTCCACATTCGACGGTTCCATGAAGCACCGTCTGAAGTGAGGAAATCAACAATGAGTCCACTTGCTTCAGCCAGGATTGTAGCCTCTATTAGAACTTTTGCAAGCTCCTCTGCCTTGGCCTTTCCATTGGTGACAAACGCACCTATATTTGAGTCCATTTACCAGTGAATGGGACGAACATTATGATCATGCCATGGTCACAGACAACATTCTGCCCCTCAGTCATAGAAGGTCCCATGTCAACAAAGCCTTCAATGTGTCCAGAAGGTGTTACAGTGAGGTGCTCAGAAAGTTTGATCTCATCCACTAAAAGACCACCACGTCTTTTAAAGCTACTGATGTGCCTCGTTTTCTGCTTTAGTTGTTTCAGCACCTTGTGATTGAAAGCATACCCGCTTTTGTAGATTCTGAGGTAGCGCTTCAAGGTACTTTTGCTTGGTAGGGAAATGATGTCGTGTTTGCGAAGATGTTCATAGAGCCTGGCACTTTTCATTTTCATCAGGATACATTCCAGAACCCAGTCCTTTGAGTAGGTGTTTCCCTTCGAGCCTCTCTTCTTTGCTGCTGAAAAACACTGCCTAACGCATTCTTGCTGCTTGGGAGGCAAGGTTGCAATCTCTGCCTGTAGTACTTCGTCAGGTTTTGAGGCATTATCATCTTGCATTTGCTTGAGCTGGGCTTGGAGGTTAGCATTGCGAGACAACAGTCTTCGGTTCTTTTGCGCAGCCGCACGGAGCTTCTGAGTGATGCTTCGGACGTGCTTCTTGACTGATCGCTGAACCCTTGACCGCCGTGTTAGAAGCGCCTTTCTCAGGTATCGGCAGGAGATGCATGCTTGTCCTGTGAAGAAAAAAAGAAAACATTTAAAATTGAAACCAAAAACATCTTTTAGCTTAAATAACAATGCATCGGGCTTTGCAGTTTACTATGTTCGATTCGACAAAGACGATGTTGGCATGACATTCTTAATTCTTCCCAAGTGGCACTGATACACACCTTCAGTTGGTTCTTTTCCTGTGCAGCGGTTGCTGAAGTATGTGCCCTCACGGGTGACCACTTGCCCCTCAAGGCCCTTTGTAAGCTAGGATCTTGGCACGTCGCTCGTCGGCACGGCACCTCCACAGAGACGATACGAGTCGACGTCTCGGAGAAGAACCTCCGCTTCCTCGCAGCTGACGACGCGTCCTCCTTCAGCCATGCGGCCACAAAGATGAACAGTGTATACAACTCCAGGCCTGCTGTCTTGTGAAAAAATCACTACACTCTCGGATAAAACTTCATTGTCACACATTTTAAGTTTACAATACACAAAACCACTGAGGCTCGGAACTCGGTGACAGCTCCAGTACTCGGAGGGGACACACAGCTTGGAATATATTTCGGGCATACAGGCTTCATCAAACTCCCCGGTATCGGCTGCAACCGGTGTGGTGCTGCCAGTGCTGCTGCAGGCAGTTGGAGAGGCAGTGTTTTGCTTTTTTTTTTTACCGTCAACTGAGGAAGCATCGGCGTTCTTTCGCTTTCTTGGGGGCCTCGGCTGCGACGCTTTCTTTGACAGGTAGCTCGGAGCATTTGGCAGCAACGTCGGCACAGCGCCAGGCAAGAACTGCGGCTTTCCGCGCGGAATGCGCACCTCTTCTCCGTTTACAACGTGAACGAAGTCTCGCGTTATAAACGATGGCTCAAAATGAAGCTCACACACCGAACACGTTTCGTCGAGGAGCTTATCCTTGCGATGCAAGTTCCGTTCCCCAAGTTTTCTTTGTTCTTCCACCTTGGGTACTGAGAACAGCGACGGCTGCTCACCTTTCCGCCATTGACAGCCTGTCTGGCACCCCGGAGCGAAGCAGTGGCGTTGTCGACGTCGATTCGGCATGGTACTTCATTGGACATAAACGACAGCAGACACGGGTAACACGGGGTGAAGAGCGGTTCAAAATGGGGGCAAACTTCGAGCTGCAAACGCTGCAAAATTAGGGATGTCGCGAACCACCCCAAATTCGATTTCGAAAGGTTTCGATATTTGCGAAGCGAACTGAGGTTCGATTTCGAAAAATTTCGATATTTTCGTACCGACCGAGGTTCGAATTCGAAAAATTCGCAACTTTCGATCACAGTGGAGTTTCGAATTCGAAAAGTTCGAAGCTTTTACGGTTTCTAAAATTTCGGATTCGAATATTTCGAAAATGTTTTTACTTCAGGTTCGATAAATTCGAAGATTTCGAAATTCTTTGAAAATAAAATTCGAAAACTTCGAACGCTTCGAATTTTTATAGACATGAAGTTCGAACAATTCGAAGATTTCGAATTTCTTTCTGCATAAAGTTCAAAAAGTTCGAAGTTTTCGATTCTCTTTTAACGCTAAATTCGAAAAAAAAAAAAACTTCGAAGATTTTGAATTTCTTTCTAGTCCAAGTTTTCAAAGTTCGAAGTCCGGTTTTCAAGTTCCTCCACACTTTGTTTCAAATAACGTTTTCACGACTCACTGGTTTTCACAAAATCAAGTTTAGAAAAGTTAGGGTGTGATATCTAGATTCTGCGAAGTTGGTCAGGCAATTAAATGAGACGACGAGTGTCCCGGATGTGCTGGAATATTTGCCAGTGCAGAGTGACGTGTGACCATGGATCAGTGATTGCGACCGCCAGCCCGGGGGGGGGAGTCTTTAACCTGCATCACGCAGTAGTGATCACACGAACACACTGTTTTACGAGACTCATCCAGTTCGAAACGGCCAGGGACGAGCAGGAGGTTGAGGCTCAGAAAAACCTTGAAGCGACCTGGCAAACTACCTCGCCACCCCTTGCACGCTGGTAGTAGTAATCCGATCGAACGCCGCCCGAGTGACGCTGGCATATAGTAAGTTAAGTTTGTAATTGTCCTGGAGGTTTATTTTCTGAGACGGAGGAATCGCCTCGCAAAAAGCCGACACAACTCGAGGTCGAGGAGCGTGCTACCTACAAGTGGCGTCGGAAGAGGAAAAACGGGGGAAAGAGGGTAGCGGGAGGGGGCCTTCAGCTTCCTTCTCCACCTTCCAGATATTTCGGACTGTTAAAGAAAACAATACGGGGAAAGAGGGCGTGGTCGAGCTTATTTTAATCTGAAATTATTTATGCATATGTATAGCTACTGTCGCTCTTCACTGCATAAAAGATTGCGTAGATGGTCATTGTTAGAAACTCGTTGTCAGAAGGCACTACATGCTTAGTGCATGTAGTGCCTTCTGACAACATGCTTAGTCGTTCGGAAGTTCAAAGCTATGTCTTTTCGACCTAAATACCTGTGCCAATAGTAAAAAAAAAAAAAAAAAAAATGCGGGGATAAAATGCCGAAAAAAAAAAACGATCAAGAATTCGCCGGAAGTGTTGCATTCTTGCGTATTCAGAGGTTCAGAACTTCGAAACAAGTTTCTTTTACCAAAATGTGTACAGGCTAAAAGAAACACGTCCCAGGATCGTAAAGCGAAAAAAAAAAAGTTTTCTTATAATGACGGTGCTGAGCTTTAACACTATTAGAAATCTTCTCTACGAGTTAATTTATTCCTTAACGTGAAAAAACAATAAATACATTATTTTGTATTCTGCAGATGGCAATGATATGTACTGTCTGTGGTGTTAATTTAAATGCGATACCTCAAACAACTTAGACGAAAATAAATATCAAGTTTAGGGCATAATTGCATGTAGATACATGTTTAGACATTTCTTCGAAACTCACGTTGAATAAAAATAATCACATCTTAAGACGGCACTTACCTAGGCTATACATAGATCATTCTTAAAAAAAGTATAACATCTCTACCACAAATAGCTTCGGCTACAGCGCGCTTCAAATCTGGCACAAACGATAATCATCAAAAACCCGTCGTCCTTCCTCGCCTCTTTGGAAATTTATTTCTTTAAAACTAAGCATGCCAGAACATTGAAACAAACGCCATTGTCTTTCGTAAGGAAAGCAATACTGCGTGTAAAAGTTCGAAAAAAAAAAAAGAAAACTACGAATGTACCTTACTACTTGAATTCAAATGAAACCGTCCGCTAGCCTTTCGAAGTTCGACGAACATCGAACTTTTACCCTAAAAGGTCGAAGTTCGTCGAAATTAGGACTTTTCAGGATTCGAAAGTTCGAAACTTTTCGAATCCTCTAGATGAATAAGTTCGAAAGTTCGAAATTCATCGATTTTTTGGTCAGTCAAGTTCGGAAGTTCGAAAAGTATCGAACTTTGCAGCGCAATAAGTTCGAAAGTTCGAAAAAGATCGAATTTTTTAGCGTAAGAAGTTCGACGGTTCGAAAAGCGTCGAACTTCTTAGCTCAACAAGTTCGAAAATTCGACTTCCGTCGAATTTTACGATGTAGACAATTCGAAAAATTGAAATCTTTCGAACGTTTCGAACCGCTTGATTCGATCATCGAAACTTCGATTCGAAAAAAGTTCGCGGCATCCCTATGCAAAATGGACCAAACGCAAGCCGAAGCTGCGCGCTCAGGGCCCCCGGAACGCTCGCAGGCGGTCGGATCCTACAGCCACTGCGTCCGCAGCGCCACCGCGTACATCCGGGACCTTTCCACATGCGCCGTTTCACAGCAATGCATGGCGCGCCTCGGCGCCTGATCTCACTACCCCTCCTCTAGTTAACTTTAATAGTGTTCTCCATTTTGTTCGACAGAGCTCGTTGGCCTAGCGTTTTGCCTTAGCCGTCGCCTTGTTTAGGGAAATCTTGTTGCCTAAAGTCTTGCGTTTCCTGTACTTCTTGAGAGCTTCGAGTCTAGTGTCCCATAGGTTCACGAGATGTAAGTCTGGAGTCGGCGTGTCTTCTTTCACTTTGTACACCTTTTTGGCTTTCTTAACCGCCTGGACAATCCTTTCTGCCAGGGGAGTTTCTTTGAGATCTTGAACGTGGGTGCGAAAAGCGTCCCACTTGATAAAACATACTTTTTTCTTTGGTGCGACACTAAGTGGAAGCGCAATTTTGATGGGCAAATGACCCATGGCATCTGGTAGCACACACCAGCTTGCTCTAAGTTGTCTCGAAGTCCACGTGAGGTCAGGAGTAGTGTCCGTTTGATTGTTAGATTGTGCGAGCCTCGTTGTGATGCCTTTTTCGTTGCGGAGAACGAGCCCCTTTCTTTCACAGGCACGCTTAATGACCTTGTCTCTGTTGTCTCTAGAGTTGTAGCCCCATTCTGTGTGCTTGACGTTGAAATCTCCCGCCAGTATAGTTGGGGTTCGGCTGTCTATAAGTCTTCGTATCCATGCGTCGTCTAGCTCTGTGGCGCCTGGACGAATGTAGGCATTAAAAACATCGACGGTCGTGTCTCCCCATCGAATCCGAGTGCCAACCACCTCACGATGTTCGCTGCATTCATTTTTGGTATCGATCTGAGTTTGCGGTAGGGATTTTTTAACGAGGGTGACTGTTATTCCGTAGTTACCATTCTTTCTGACGATTATTGGCTGGAGAAAAGCATTATACCCTCGAATCTTGAGGTTCTTCACGTTCGCCTCCTGGAGGAGGATAACATCGGGAGCCTTGTCTTTGAGTTTTTCGAGTCTGAGCTTAAGCTCCGAAAGTTTTTGATGGAGACCCCTGCAATTCCACTGGAGGACCGATACGTTGGTTATTTTCTTTCTTTGGCGTGGCAGTTTGGGTCTGGACGCCGAGGCGCTACTTGCCATGCTGTTTGCTGATGAGTGCGTAGACGAGGTCGCATAGCTTGTCAACCTTGCTTTCGAGGGATCCGACTTTCCCTTCAAGCGTGTCAATTCTGCCATGGGTGGCTTATACTTCTGCGATCCATCCCAAGGGAGACGACGAGGCCGAGGAGCTGGTGTTGCTTCCTCCGCTCTGATGCAGAGGGTAGTTCCACGCATTGGAGCTAAGAGGCTGCAAGGCTGATGGCAGAGTCGGAAAATTCTTAAAGGACTGCAGAAACTCCAGCGACGGTGTTTGTTGGTACGAGGCTGTTGTTGCTTGACCACTCGCGTAGGAGCTGTTGCTCTGCAATTTCTTGTGTGGAGGTGGAGGTTTCACTTTCTTGGGTGGGATCGTGTGTTTGGGGCAATCATTGCTCGTGGCAACGTGTGTCCCTCCACAGTTTACACATTTGGGTTGCAGCTTACAGTTCTCGGACGCGTCGTGTTCGTGTCCGCAACTGCTGCAGCGCTTGACATTTATAGGACAGACGTCGGCTTTGTGTCCAAGGAGGTGACAGTTATAGCACACCAAGGGCCTAGGTCTGTATGAGGTTACCCTAAAGGCCTCGCAGGCGTATCGGACGTAGTTTGGTAGGGACCGGCCTTCAAAGGTAATGAGGACCGTTCTTTCTGACTGGCCGATGATTCTGGCCGAGGGGATCTGGTGGGTTTTGCACTCCAGTTCTTTTGTTAGCGAATCAGGGGTCTCGTCGTTGTCGTATCCTCGCAGATAAATGACTCCCTTGATTTGCGAGCTTGAGGTTGCCACGTATGACTTCATTTCAAGCGCTTTTCCTTTGAGGTCGATTTTGCCTATTGTCATGAGCTTGTCGATGGCTTCACGGTTCTTCGTGGTGATAGCGATGGTGTTTGAACGTTTATTCCTGTGAACTGAGCAATCCTTGTCGCTTACGCCGGACTTGGTAATAGCGTCGCGGATGTTCTTGCTCGCAATGTTGTAAACGTCTTCGCGACACTCGGGCTTAAGGACGACCTTGTGCGTGGGTGTCTGTGACGTGGATTTATCGGGCCGGTTGCGTCGGCGACGTCTCGTGTATTGCTGCCACGTGCCATCTTGGTTGTCTTGTTCCATAGGGGCCGCAATATCATCGCCAACGGCGAGATTTTGTGTGCCCTGGCTCGAAGCTTCGGTGCCAGGAGT